CGTAACCTGTTAAAACATCCTATAAACAAACAAAAAGGAGAACCCCATAGAAAAAATTCTATGTGTGTCAACATTCGTTTTTTTATTTTTAATTTATAAAAATAATTATATTTGCTTTTAAGAATTTCACCATCATTATAAACAATTATGAATAATGAAGAATTTTTCTTCTCTTTATCACAAAATAAAGATGCGTGTTTAGGTGAATCCACTATTGCCTAGGCGTTAATGGTTAATTTAAAACCCGCATAATGTTTTTTCCATGTTATAACTCTGAAACATCGGTTTTTTGCCGAAATTTTTTTTCTTCCTATTTTAAAAGTTGTCGAGTTCTAAGTTTCATATACGTTTAGTTACCGTGTTGCAACATGTTGAAGCTATGACTGGCTAAAAATAAGTAACTCTAAAAATATTTATTTCTCTAGTTATAGAGTACAATAACAGCATTACAAGCCGTAAGATATTAAGAATATTTTATAGTTGATATCGATCTTTCGAAATTTTTATGTTGTTGTTAATTCAAAGACAAATACATACCGGCTGATTTCTCAGAAAACGCTTTCCGGCTAAATAAGTTAATGAATGAACAAAGCGAAATAAACTTTAACGCGGAAACATACTCCTTGATTCTAAACACTTTCATAATCGCAGCTAGATTGTGGGATTCATAAATAATACAATCAAAATTGGACATAATGTAAATTAATTTAACTTCTTTCTAATTTGTATCTTCTTTAACTTATGATAAATAATGAGTCTAACCTTGAACTATATACTCACAAATAAGGAGTTCGTTATACGCATAATATTTTTATAACAGCAACGAGAGGATCACGCGTATGCAAATTATCTATTGTTAAGTTTCGTTGACAGACACGCTCTGCGCATCTGTTGAGATATTTTTTATGATATTCTTTTGCCAAATTTTAAAATTTTATCTTGAGAATGAAAGCATCCTACATATGCTGCGTGGATCATGTTGTATTTGTACATAGAATTTGAATTTTATTCAGTATAGAAAAACAAATATTATCGTTCTTGTTTATTCCCGGGGTTAACAAAAAATAAGTAAAGTCCTCTCAACTTGGGCAATTTAAGAAGATCTATAATACGTCAGAGTTCGTCTGATATCTTTTACATAACCTTTTTGATTGTCTATTAAGATTCGTATGAATAGTTTGAAAAAACAGCCTATTCATAAATCTGCATTGAAGCATTTTATTCTAAAGCCATGTTTATATTATTCGAACTTTATGTGCTGAATAAGATATCAAAATGTGTTTGCAATTCTAAGTTGAGATTTGATTTGCATTTAGAAGGTTAAGAAACAGCAAAAAAACATGCTGCCTTAATGAACTTTATTCTCGAATGCCTGGAGCCGTGCTTATGTTGTGATTGGATTTTATTTTATACGGAAATAAATATATCACTATTATTATTAACATCTGTTTACTCTTGAATGTAACAGTAACAGAGAAAACATTCTCTTTGGGAAAACAAGAAAGAAATTATTAAATAAATGAAAGTAGGAGAATATGTTTGCAATATTAAATTTTAAAGGAATTTTCCTTCTTTTTGGAATTTGAAAAACAGTTAATTAACAAACGCTGTATTAATGTATTTCATTCTGGTGTCACAATTATGATGCAAATCATTTGAACTTCATTCAATGGTGAAACATTTGTATTGCTATTAGCACCTATCGATTCTGGATTTTACAAAAACAAAGAAAGCATATTTAATTTGGGCAAATCAATAAAGATTTAAGATCTAGTTTCAGAATAAGCTTTTTAATACTTTCATTTGGTTCTTTGAAAGAAACAGTCAATTAATACATACTGCATTAATGAATTTTATTTTAGAGTTACTTCCCATTTATTTTAAGATTGCTCGAATTTTGTGCTATATGGAAAAATATACGTCCAAAATACACACGTTCAAAATATACATGTCCAAATGCATGTCCAAAATGTATAGAAAGGCTCAAATGCCTCAAGAAAATCATATTGGATCTAAACTGCTTAAACTCACCCTCGGAAAGGTGGGGTTAACTTCAAAATCACTAACAGACACCCTTAACTTATAAGTAGATTTTGGCTTTTTTCAAAAAATAAGTGTATCTCAGTATTTGATATACAGGTTGTTGCATTTGGGCCCTGAATTTGAAAAAAAAATAATAATATTGAGATTTTCGAGATAAATAAAGGTTAGATTCGATCAGTAAAATAAATCAGATTGAAAAAATAAAAACGAGTTGTTTGGTAAATTGAAAAACCTGTCTAAATGACACCTAACTCAACGTCCTCCCCTAAATTAGGTCCTAACTCCCAGGAGTGTTGACCTAGTGCTATGGGGTGAGGAAGGAGGTAAAGTTTGGTGTAATTAGTTAAGTTTTTCAAAATCTTTGGCATACGACCTGAGTGATGATCTTTTGAAGTTAAGGGGAATTTGATATTTCGAAATAGAGTTATTATTGAATTGCTTCTTAGTGCTTGAATTGGCAAGAAAAACTGAGTAAGAATTTTCAATTGCAATCTGTTTTAATTTATAAGAGACTCCGTTTCTGTTCTTCATAGAAAGTGTATCATGGGAAGATTAAAGGTAATAGATTTTGGAAGGAAAACAAAGAAAATTATCTCCAGTAGATCAAATTTAATAAACTTTTATTGTGCTTAGGAGTAATATGAGTTAAAGAATTCATATGCCACTTTTATCTGAAATACGTACCCACGGGAGTTGAAAAGAAAATTTTTTGGGTAGAACTAACTCCCGTAAAGGCAAGGGTTGATTTCTTTAGTTCGTTGCTTGTATTTTTTTACCTCACTGAAAATTTAGAAAAATGTAAGTGATTAAAATGTGTTTTTTTTTTCGACCGAAATCTTAGAAAAAAAATTAAAAATTTAGGAAAGAAAGTCTTGTTTAGTAACAAAATTCTTTTTTTCACGCTGAAAAATAAAATATTGATTTTCAGAATTAAAATATTAAAAAAGACTTATATTTTTGACAAAACCGTAAATTGTGCTCACATACGAGTTATTTTGGCAGCTATCTTGAAAAACAATCAAAAATTTAAAAAAAATTCTTGTGTGGAAACAAATTAAACGGTCGCTCCTGCTAGAAAATAATATAAGATTGGATCGTACATGTGAAATGTTTACAAAGTATATATGTGCCAGACTTTCAGATGTGACGAAACTTTTATATCGAAAAATTGTACAATTTTGATAAAAAAAAAATCCTAAATAAAATGTTTAATGTTTACACTTTTGGTTTATTTGTCGAAGAATTTTCCTCCTCATCTGAAGAAGCACTGCCCCTCATACGCTATAAATCATTGACTTTGACTATATTGTTTGAAAATTTTTAGATTCTGGGGTTGGCAATATGATATCATGTGCCAAAATACAATTTTAATAAGTTCGGAAAATTAAACAACTTTTAATTCAAAATCGTGATAGTAGGATTTTATCTGTTTATTATCAGGTTAGTTTTAGATTTGAATTATTTAAAAACTCAAATTCAACAAATAAGCTAATAGAAATGAGTATGAAAACGTTAGCCACTTAATTTCATTATTCCTCACCGATTCTTATCGAATGTTCAGTTCTATTTGAACCGTGGCTCTTTAGTCTTAAATAAAAAAAGAGAATCAAAACTTCTTAAATCCAGATGTGTCCCTGTCTTTATTCGTAATTAGTGGTATGCAATTTCAATACCATATGCGAACTATTAGCAAATAAGACACACCATCCAACGCCCTTCCTGCTCATGAATGAAAAATATTCAATTGATTTACATAACAAGCGATATCTGTACCTCTTTCATTTTCGAAGAACTTGGAACGAACTCCACCCGATTTTATCATACAATGCGGTCCGTGAAGAAACCAGTATAGAAACCAGAAAAAAAGAACTACACTGGAACAAAGATGTGGTTCATTCTTGCTGAACGCCCATGCCTTATGGCTTAAAGAAATCGCATATAAGAAAGAAAAGAAACTTTTGCTTCGAAAAAGGTTTAACACGCGCTTGTTAAAGGATTAAATATATTGAGGGTTTTATTGGCAATTGTTGTGGTTGTTCTTATGAGACTATTGTTAGTTAGAGTGCTAATTGATTGACTATTTGTTTCTATTTACTTTGTAATATAAAAACTGGAACAATAGCGAGAACGTTTATTTGTTTGAACTTTAAAACTCCTTATTTGCTCTTGTTTTCTTGATTTACTTGTTTTCTCTTCTTTTCTTTTTTCGAAAAAATGCTTTCGGTGATTTTATTGTAATTTTAATAGAATTAAGAGGTTTTAGAGTTATATATTATCTTCCCCTTTTCTTACGTTAACCTATCATAATATCAATTCCTTACTTGACATTTTGCAATACTTTTTGTGCCATTTTATTCCTTAAAATATATCTCATAAAATTCAGTTACCAAATTTTCATTTTTTAGGTTCTAGGTATTTTTTTTTCAAATTTGTCAAATCTTCTATAGAAGGTACTATAGAAGCTGCTAAAATTTTTGAACACCGAATTAAAAATTCAAATTTCGTAAATGAGTTTTGTAAAATGCATTTTAATAAATGAAGTGAAACAAAGAGCATTCCATCACATTAACTAGCAATTTCCTAAGCACAGTCCAAAACATTTAAGTTAGACTTTTAAATTTAATCAAATATTAGGCTCAATGTAGCTCTTTTTTTTGCCCTTGCACTAAAAACTTATAACTAACCAGCACAAATAAAGGATTAGTATTCATATAATTCTTCAATAGGGTCTACACGATAAACAGGAACGGTAGAATCTGGAAAGCAGGACACTTTTATGTGTACTTGCGAAATTCTATTCTTTTAGCGCTATTAAAATTAAACTAAATCTTACTTTCAGACGATATTCTGAAAGGTTATCTGATAGTTAAAAGTAAGGCCATTTTTTACTAAGCATGTTTCATTATTAATCAATTGCTTAACGTTCATAAAATTCAAGAAATAATTAACACACTCACCATATACTATGAGCTCTACAGTATGGTTGGCAACACCAGCAGCATTGGTAACATAACAAGTATAGTTTCCACTTCTGGAACTATCTACTGATTTTAAGTAGAGCAAAGAATATTCCTCAAATGTCTGTATCCTCGATAGAGGTTGATCACCTAAAGGTTGACCATCTTTTAACCACTTGAATGTGAAAGATCCTGTGCCAGCGGTCACCGCACATGTGATAGTAACACTTTGTCCTTTAATGACATCGCTTGGAAATGAAAATGGTTGAATGAATGGCACACCTAAAAAAATGGTTTACTAATGAAAGAAACTGTAATAAAAAATATGCATAAATATTTTATTATATTGTTATTATTATTAGATTGAATTGAATTTATGTAACATTAGAATAAGAACTATTAATGTAGTTTTGCAAGTTGTAGTTTTGTAGTTGATTACTGCCTAATTTCTAATGTTTATTTACAATTACAAATAAACATTAGAAATTATATCTACAGGAGGGAGGGCATTACCATTGATTTCTTTTCGATTGAGCTCATTGCCATATGTAACGTATACCTGGCTGAGCTTCTTATCATGGCATCTAATATGCATTGCATTGGTTAAGCGAGCACAATTCCCCACCAACAAAATATTTACAGATTCGCTGTCTTCGTTATTCAGTCGGGAGATCTAGCTCCTAAATTACAAATAATTGGAGAAATAAAATATTTCTGAAGCATAAACTTTTGTAAAAAAAAAAGAAAAAAAAAGGGGATCAAGGCTCATATTGGGTTAGAATGAAACGAGGAGGCTGAAAAGACAGCATAAGCATCAATTAAACTCAGACGGGTAGGCATAAGAATTCAAAGTGATAAATCTCAGGTCAAATCTGTCGTAAAGCAAGTCACTATGAACCTTAATCAAAGTGATTAGAGGGCAAGCGACAGGTTCAGATATACAAATCCTGCAAGGATTCAAAACTAGGAAAACTTCTGACTAACTTTCATTTAAATAAATTTCTTACAGGACAAGAAGAGTTCGGGAGTTTCCAACCGAAATTTTTTAACAAACCACAGCATGTAATATTGTCCGGTAATGCAAGATATGATGACACTACTACCCCAGATACCGGGCACACCGAGGCTCATACTTTAAGAATTTGGAAGCCAACCATCAATGGTTTGTAAAATGTTCTTAAGTTTGTTACTTATTTCAATTTTCCACATTATTCAATGTTTTAAAATTAAAAATTAAAGCTAATGACCTAAAATTGCTGTAGAATATTACAGTACAGGTGAAAAAACTGACAGTTTAACTCACTTTATGTTAGATTTACGCAATGATTATGGGGTCCCACAAAATTTTCGTAAATATTATGGGGTCCCCATATTAAAAAGTTCACAAACTTTGCTTTAGAGAAACCGTAAGAAATCATCATCCTATTATTGGATCCAATGTGTAATTAATTTTGGTAATATGTGCTCATTTAAATAAAATAAAAAGTTACATACTAAAAAGCAAAAAAGTTCGATGTACTTTTATATACATATCTTATACTAATTCAAAAAGATACTTATTCAATTAGGGGAACCAAAGAATTGCAATACTAATACTGACTCTTACTTAATTTTGGAAACATAATTGGTATTATGGAAATTGGGGCAGTTTTAATAAAAAAATTCACTACTGATTTTCATAGTTCCAAGCAATATTTTTTCCAGTGGCAGCAAAGAAAGTGCATTAATATTTTAATGAATTAGTATTAAAAAAACTATTTGGAACCATTACTTATTAATATTTTAAACAGCATGCTAAAGATCAGATGGAGATTTCTATTGTTTATAAGAAATCTATTAATCTCATAAGAATTTTATTTGTTTTTAAAATTTCAGCTTCAGTTTGCTACCACTGATAATGTATTTTGTACAAAACTGAAATGTTGGAGGGTATGTTATAGAAAAGACTGACAATTTTCCACTCTTTTTGTGAAATTTATTTTAGTGGTAGCTATGTTTATGTTTTAATGTAGGATCCTCTTTTAAATATGATTTAAAGTTGATTTCCAACACTATGATTTAAAGTCGGTTTTGTAAATATGATTTAAAGTTGGTTTTGGATGATTCAAAAGTTCATATGAAATTCCTCTTTGCTTCAGCTCTTGAAGTGAATTTTAAAATGTTGGCAAAATTACAAAAAAGTTCTGAAAGCTTCCGTTTTTAATTGTCTACCACTCAATATTTTGCAAAAAGCTTAGTATTTTACAGTACTGGTAATAAGTACCAAAGATAATAATATAGATACAAAGTTTTATCTTGATGCATTTGAATATTAAAATACCATTAATACTGATCAGTTTTAATACAGATACTGTGGAAATAGGTTACTTACGGGTCCTCGATGATGATAAAAATTACTTGGTAGTACTAAATTTGAATTATTATGAGTTGACAGCAAGCAATTGTATGATATCAAGCGATATTGATTACAATTAATCTTTATTCTGATGGAATGAATTGCAAAAAAATATGATTTGCTTAATTTAATGACGTAAAGCCACTGGAAGGGGAACAAATAATAAATAAATAATTGGAATTATTTTAGCTTTATTAAATGTGACGGTATATGACTTTTAGTTTTATGTGTGATTTCATAATGTTATTCATCAGTAATGATTTATTGATTATTTTCTTTTTTTTTAATTCCCACCGACTATATTTCGGAATGATGAGCAACGTTGCGTCAATGATTATCTATATCGAACTGATGTTATTAAATCTCGATCCATGTTGACAATTATTTGCAATTTAACTCAGAAACTTTTTTGGCACAATAACATGCACAAAATAACAATACAAATAGTTTTAAGAAAATTACTAGCAAGCATTTGATTAAATTATTATAGTAACTTTGGCCTGTGACATATTATTTCAACCTATTCTAAGTAATTAGACGAAAAGAGATCTTATATTATTAAAATATAAAGTTCCGACACAAATTTCGTTGCAATTAAATGTGCCTAGTCTCTTTGAGTGACCTAAACTAGGGGGTGCATTCAATGCCTCAATGGAGACAAAGCGATTACCTAATTGGACATACTAACTGAAAGCGAGTACTACGACACGCACAAATATACTAATTGCACATTATGAAACAATTTGCTTTGTTAGGAGTCATGTGAAACTTTGATCTTGCAGTTCCATAACTAGAAAATCAATGGATAGACAATGGACCTCATTAAATAGTCATAAGACGTAAAATTCTCATTACCTCACCAAGTTATTTCCCATTGCAGCATTATCGTTCGGATATCTTTTTATCAACAATTATGATTTTAGATTATAGTTAAGAAAAACAAAAGTGCCATAGTGGATATTAAAATTTCAATGAATCGCTGATTCACACAGTTTCTGGCTAAAATAGAATTTTTTATACGCATTAATATTTATTAAAACAATTTCAACACAAACACTATGTTCATTGTTAAAATAATTATAATCATCAAAATTTTAATTAATTGGATAAAAATTATTAAATATTATCACAAATTATTAATATTTCTGCTCGGGTAATTAAACACCTAACTCTAACGAACCTCCAGCAGTAATACTCTAAGTTTTTCCAAGCACTTAGTCCTTATTTAAACTCTTTTGAAGGCAGTAGTACAAACGTCAAGTATTTCTATTTCCGAGCAGGTGAAGCTGCTGACTTCTGATCTGGTACCCCAATATTCTATACTTTGTACCGCCAGGTTTTCAGTCCTGGCATATTTATCGTGTACTTTTTTTCTTTATTTTTTTTCCTTCTTTGTGTTGAGATACAGAATTAAAATTAAAACAGTGTGATGTTTTCTTTTCTTTCTTTCCTTTTTATGCTTTCTTGAAAAATAAAATGATCTTTTTTTAACTCGCAGATTTATTCAGAAAACAAATATGCGCTGAAATGTTCGGTAGGGAGTCAGGTATAATCTAGATTAGACTTACATAAATTAAGAAAGCCATCTAAAGCAACTGTTATAATGACTGAATACCTTACATTAAATTAAAACTTCATAGTTCATTTAATCATTAACTTATCCTTTTACTTAATGACGGATGGTAAAAATTATGCAAATTTATATTTGTAAGTCAGTTTTAACGTACAAAAGAAAAAAAAACATAATCCTACGTTAGAAAAGCTCCAAATAGCAAGAAAGTATGAATATAAATAATATATTGATAAAAGGATAGTTTTTTCAAAGGGCAAGTACAAATAAGGAAATCATTTGCATCGGAATAAAACCCGAAGTTTTCTTTTCTTATAAGTAAAACAAAATATGCCATGGCACAGGAAGGTGTTATTAGTTTTCCAGCCAATAATGGAAGAATTTCAATATGCAAATATCTTTGGCTTAATTACAAAACTAAGCATCAGGTAAATGAATATTCATAACTAGTTCTTCTCTGTGCATGTGTGTCTTGAAAATTAAGTGGCAAATATGAAAAATAGAAAAATAAGAATTAGTGTATGTTTCAAATTGATACAATTTTCTGAAACCTTATCTTTCTTTTAATAGGACAACCAAATAGAAAGTGAATATGTTCATTAGTGACTAACTAATTCACAGATTTTAATACATTTGTTAAAAGCAAGGTTAACATAGCCGCCTTTATGATTATTATGCTAAAAAGAGTAGGAAGAACTCATGAGTGTCTATTATATAACTTAAAAATAACTTCAATGCGTTTGATCTTTAGAGCAAGCGAGTTGTCTCGTGGCTGCAGGAATGTTTATTTTCTTGTTAGTTATGGCTCACGAAAGATACGATAAAATTTGCATAGGTTCCCCTCCCCTAAAACTACTTTTTTAAATTTCTAATCAAAACTTAAAAATCTTGAACATGCGTAAAAACAAGTGTAAAAGGATGGATTGAATGCAGAGTTGGATACAAGAGTCAGGTCAGAATCATATACACCAGTGGTTTTCAATTATGTTTGTTATGGAATACTAAATGATCTAGCTTCTTTTGGCGGAACCCCCAGCATTATTTAAAAAAATTCATTAGCAGCTGCAAAAATACTAACAAAAAAGAACTTAATTACTTTGATCATGACCGTCAGGCTAACCGTGGAAGATTTTCGTAGTTTTTCTCTCCAAATAACGCAAACGCAGGTTAGTTCCATCAAAAAGTCCTCCACGAAGGCAAATTTCTCTCCAATACTTAATCCAGAAGTTCCCTTGTCTTTCAAATTGGGTTCAAAATTACAGGACCGTAGATTTGAACATTAGTAGTAGTAAGCCCAAACAGATTGGGTCGGCTGTTCAACGACGGTTATAAAATAAAAGAAAATGTGTAAAATGACGAATTCCGCACTAGGCTAAAAATGACCACAGTGCTGACGTAAAATATCCTCTGTGGTTGACGGATCGTGAGTTAGAGTCCTCTTGCCATCAGGCTAACCGTTGGAGATTTTCTTTGTCTTCTGGATTGGATTCAAAACAACAAGGCTACGGAATAGAACATTAGTAGTCATAAACTCAAAATTGGGTGGGGTTTTCTTTGACGGTTATAATATAAAATAAAATGTGTAGAATGAAAAATTTAATATCATGTATTTTTGTGTATGCATATGCTGAAAATGAATAAAATAAGCTTACTGTTATACTGTTATAAACGATGTGAGTAGGTCTGTGAAAAAAGTAATTTTTTATTCTTGAATTTAGTTGCTTTATTTTGAATTGAAAAGCTTGATGAGAAATACTTATAAAATTAAGAAATATTTTCATAATTTATGCAACATATTGTTTTTGAAATTTTTTTTAAAAAAATGTTGCTACTTTTAACATTCGCATTTTACATTAAGAAGTTCATATAAACAAGTGAAATATTAAATAAATTATGGATTATTGATTGAATATAAATCTTATTAATGCTGGTCCTAAGAATATATCATAACCATCGCATCCTTCTGCCGAACCCTAGGGTTTTGCGAAACCACTGGGAACCTAGGGCATCGCACACTTTTTGGGAGCTGCTGATCTACACTGTACCATACTTCAACGAAAATGTATATTCTATGTAAAGGATAAGGTTTTAATCTTAAAGGATAAGGTTTTAATCTTTTTAATCTTTGAAAATAAGTTTTGCAGAAATTAAAATTAAAAATTAATGAAAATTTAATATCTTGAAAAATAGGAAAGGAAGTTTGAAAAGTTATTATCATAGAGTATCGTAGAGCCCCTGTTTAGCTATGAAAGACACTCTGAGGTCAAACATTTGTGAAATATTGAGACGAAATACAACTACTGATCATGTAAAATCTCTATATATCCTGTTTGAAAATATCTTTGTAAAGCAAAATTAAAATTCTTTTTTTCTGTTTTGCCCAATATGAAAAATGTTAAGATTTATAGGTTTTGAATTAAAGTTTTGTTACATAAATGAGGTTCCTAAAATTTTTCCAAGTTTTAATTTTCTATTTTTATTTTATGCAATTCAGGAGAGAATTTTTGTCCATTATTCCGTAAATATTCACGGAGTGATGGACAAAAATTCTCAAACATTAAAGGAGTGTTGGACAAAAATTTAATTAATATATATTAAAGATTATTCAAAAAAGTTTTTTTTTGTAAGTTTTAGATTTGTACTACTCTTTAAAAATTAACTTCTTAGTCAAAAACTTTTTTTAATGAAAAATATTTTTTTTACTTAATATTATTTCAAAAGCATTTAAATAAAATTTATTCTAAAGGCATCAACTTTGTAAAAATATATATCACGATATATAACTAATTGATTGGCAAATTCAATTTTTGCTCTCTGGTAGGTTGTTGCGCCAAAAGGCAATAAACTATTTTCTTATGAACTTGTATCACTTTTAAAACAAATTCTTGAAAGATATTTTTTAAGCAAATCGCATTATCTATTTTTTATTTCCTTATAAATTCGCCAGATTATTCGCTAATTTAATTTTTTTAAGAAACAAATTCGCCATTTATTTTTTTTTCCAATTAACACAAAAACACAATATTTTTCCCCTTGAAAAATTTGCATTTAACTTTAGACTGTAATGTTATTGTACGACTAGTAACTTTTTAAATTTTGTATGCGTGTGCGTGTTTTTTTCTTAAAGTGAACTTAAAAAAAAATTATAAAACTTTCATTTTTAGCATTATGATTCAAAAAAAAAATATCTTAGTGTAAGTATACAATTACTATGTACTTTAAAACAAAATAAAATATTGAATCACATTTGAGTTTCTTTAAAAAAAAGAGATAAAATGTGAAATTTAAACAAAGATTTTTCCACACTTGAAAAGCGAAATAAAAGAAAAATTATAATAAACTATCAGAACCTCAAACATTTTACTTTTAAGATTGCAAATAAATCAAAAGATCAGTCTACTAACTTCGTCATGTTTCAAAACTGTTGTCATTTTGATATGCTTTTCAGTTTTCTTCTACTTTTATCGTTTTCCAAACGAGATAAAGTGAAATCGACTTTTGAGCAAATACAAAACTCTTAAAGATGTGCTCTAAGAACAATTGTAATCACTGAAGTTTAAACGATAACAATTGACACTTTCAAAGAACTTTTCGAACAAGATGTGAAATAACGCATTTGTTCTTTTTAAAATATTGATCCTCAATTTAATAATTTCGTTCTTTCGGTTGCGACGCAGGCACAGAGAAATCAATTGAATTCAATAAAATTAGAAATGGTATATAAACATTAATAATATTTGAAGGGCTTAGAGCAGTATTGTGCAAGGCCATACTTTTTTAATGAAAAAATCATACATCAAACTGAGCTTTTAGTATTATTTACAGATATGTACATCTTTTTAGAAGTTTTCTCTAGATAACAGTACAATACATAGAATTATCTTATTACGAACATGGAAACCATGTTTTTTTTTCGAATTTTTTTATTTTTTATGATGTTATGTCTACAATTTTAAGGCCGTGGCTTATTCTAAATATTTTTATTTCATTTGACTATTTCATTTTATTAAGCTTTGATTATTTAAAAACCGTTATATGAATGAAGTTTTGTAAGTTTCCTAATAGTGCAAAAATGTTTTTAATTTAAAACAAAAATAAAAAATATTATTTTATGTAACAATCAAGAACAGTTTCTTATGCACACACATTTTCTTTTAGATTTAAAAACTTTTTTTATTTTTCGTCGCTTAAGCTATAATTAATACTAACAAATAATATGTTTATTTACTAACAAGAAATTATGTTTAGAATTGTTTTAATCCATGTTGACCTAACGTGACATACACATCACGCGAATTCTTTTCTGAATTGTTTACACATAAAGCAAATGTTTTTTATTCTTTTCAAATAGCAATTAGTAGCTAACAGAATAAAATATTCATTTAGTTAAAAGAAGAAAAAAAAATTTTTTTTCTTCATAGGAGCTTCTTTTGCGGCAAGGAGTTTAAAAAATTCAGGAATAAATGGTAGAAAATTGGAAAATAAGAATCAAAATAAAAACTAGTTAAAGGGGAAAAAAAACCATTTTTTAAAGGAGCTTTTTTTGCGGCAAGTAGTTTAAAAAGTTCAGGCATAAATAGGAGAAAATTGGAAAATAAGAATCAAAATAAACACTAGTTAAAAGGGAAAAAAAAACATTTTTTATAGGAGCTTTTTTGCGGCAAGGAGTTTAAAAAATTCAGGCATAAATGGCAGAAAATTGGAAAATAAGAATCAAAATAAACACTCAATGCATGTGAAAAATTTTCAGACTTGATCTTTAATGAGGCTATTACAATGCACTACTATTATGTATGTTGTGTGTTACTAATATAATGAGTCATTTAATTGCTAATAGTTTTAATACTCATTTTCGTGATATTTAAGTTTAACAAATAATCACAAGCTGTAAACTTAATGGTTTAATTGTTAAATAGTAATTGTTAAAAAAATGCTTCGATCATCATATTGTGTATAAATAAAATATTATTTTCATTAATAATATTTTTATAATCATTGAAAACAAAGGAATTTTTATAGTATTTATATATAAAAATAATAAATTAATTATTTTTTTACATTTAAATTTAAAGAGCTAAAAAGTTATAAATTAAAAAAAAAGCAAGACAATAAAATTATCACATTTAATATGTTAATTAATACTATGTTATGTTAATTAGTACTAATAAATATTTCTTTAATAACGTTTCAGGCATGTAATTACCCAAAATATTTGATAATTGAAGTAACACTTTATTTGAAAAAATTATTTAAAATATCACCTTAATTTAATTTTTTTTATCATTAAAGTTCATTACTTACTTTAATGGAGATAAAAATATAATCAGCGCTAAACTAAGTCATTTAATTAAGATGAAATTTTTTTATAAACTTAAATTTAATTTAAAATAATATTTAATTTCATTTAGCATAAAAATATCGAAGAAGAATTTTAAAAGCTGCTAAATGATTTGAAATTATTAGACATAAAATGACATAAAGCATAGGAATGAAATTTTTAATTAAGAAATAAAAATTTAAACTACTTACCTAAAGATTCAGAATTTACCACAAATTTAAACATGAATAATATAAATACAAATGCTGTAATCCAAAGAGTTTTCAAAGTTTGTTGGAACATTTTTCTTAAATTATTTTCGAAAACCGCATAAGAAACAAACAAGTCAAATAATATTTTGCTTCATTAAAAGTTCCATCGGTTTCCAAGGCAATGTTACGTCGTCCAAAATAAAATAAACAGATAAATCGCTTGCATCTTTTTTTTTCTTTCGCACGAGCTGGGTGTTAAATAAATTCATATGACAGTTTCTCAAGCAAGCGACTAAAACGGAGTTTTTCAAATTATTGTTTGTAAAAAATGAATGTAAGTAGCAGACGAAAATAGTGTTTCCGGTCAGTTTCTGCGCCATCTATCAGCGAATGTATGAACTTTGCTTGGATCAAAGTTATCTTATTCTTCAATTGAGTTTTGAGCGATGGTATTTCGTTGGTTTGTGAAAAGGGTGAAGAGATCATGATTCATTTTTGGAAGAGTTGGTAAATTGAGGCTGATTTGCTACTTCCGCAACCGATCATTTCTGTTTCCAATCATTTAAAGAAAAAAAATAAGTTCCTGCTAGCAACAACGGAGGAAGAAGCAGCTTTTACGTGATATTTTATCATTCAATTTGAAAATTTAAATTTTGATTATTTATATTTAAGTCAATATATTTAATAGCATATATCTTAATTCAGTTAAACAAAAATTAATTCTTCACTTTTTATCATTTTTTTAAAATAATAATTAATAAATACAGGATTTTTAAAACCAGGAAATGATCTTTCCTCCTCTTGTTTGTTTCATACTTCTTATATTCATTACTATACTTTGGGGGGGGGGGTATAGCAATGAATATAAGAATATTAGAATATATTTATAGAATATATAGAAATATGAATATAAGAATATATTTATAGAATATATAGAATTATGAATATAAGAATATATTTATAGAATATATAGAATTATGAATATAAGAATATAGTAATGAATATAAGATATTGGTTTGATACTATTTTATATTACTATACTTTATATTCATTTTACTTGAGGACAGTCGTATTTTTGTAAAATTACTTTTAAATTTTTTAATGTCACAAGTTTTTCTTTCGTATTTTCTTTTTTACTTATAGTGGCGCAGTACAGCTGCATTTTAATGTTGGACTCTACATTCAATTTTGTGTTCACCATTAGATTTTAAACTTATAACTCGAAAACACAATTAAATATTTGGTTACATGTAAACAAAATATAATTTCATTTTTGGTTACAGTTTATGGGGAACCAATGAACTCAAGACCCAGATAAAGAGTCACAATAAGATGATGTAACAAAAACAAATTCAACTACAATGCAAATTACCAACTGGTAATCCAAGGCTAAAAGCAGGAAAGTATGAAACAACATTGTTTGGCAAAGGCACACATTGGGCTGTAGCTCCATAAAAGAAGAAAACTTGTTCACATTAAAAGAATAGAAGCACAATTTCTAAGGATACATATTAAACATATTTGAGTACAATATGCTCCATTTCACTTCTCAGCCTTGCATCTTTATTAGATATATAGTATGCTGTCAAGTCTTGAAATTTTTAACTTTTATTAGTCAACATTTTAAATGTTTTAGTCAGGTTATAAGGAAAACAAGGAACTGTGGCATCGATAATGAGGAATCAGCATCAGGGGGTTTCATTAATCATCAAAACATTCCAGTAATGTGGGCTAATTCTTCAACTTGTTTTGTTTGTTTCAACCTCTTTTTCCCATTTTTCTGCGTCAAGCATAGTTTGTAATACCATTTCATTTTATAACCTTGCATAAGCATCAATATTAATTTTTAAAATAAGGTTTTCATTTGGTATATACTAACTGGTTACATAATGGTATAAATAAACTTTGGAGAGATATTAATTTGATAGTCGATGAAGAATGCAGCGATAAACATATTCTCAAACCATTGCTACTGAAAAGAGATTATTAACTTTTCGCAGAGCTTGTGCTGTTCGAATATTTTGATTCAATCGTAAATTACAATAATGATATAGTTATTGAAATTAAGAATAAAATCAAAATGACCACCAGCTTCTATCATGGGTTGAAAAACCAGTTTAAATCGAAATGTCTATGCAGTGAAGCAAAAATACAGCTGTACAAGACATTAATCAGATCAATAGTTTTGTATATCAAATAAAGATAAACTGATGATCTCTGATGGAAATATTTAGGAAGAATTTTTGGTGTAGCAAAGAAAAATAGATTTTAGGGAATAAGAATGGAATAAGATACGATAGAATAAGATATGATAATATAAGATAAGATAATATAAGATATGATAATATAAGATACGATAAGAATAGAATAAGATATGATATACTAATAATTGACCATATACGTAAGTAACGAGATGAAAACCTGGTGAAAAGAAATATTATTTAAAAAATCAATGTGAAATAGAAGGAGTAATAGTCCACTTACAAGGTGGCTGGACGGACGTATAGCATTGATAATTGGTTAACCTTTTCCTTACGGCTGGTACAGCATGTGGAGCACCTGTGGTATTAGAACACGGTACACCGTATGCAAAGGGTTAAGGAACATTGGTGTTGATGTTACTGTAAAAACTCTATTAGCTAGATAAATTCTAGGTTTTGCTAATCATTGTCTTGGTAAATATCCTAAATTTTAAAATATTAAAGCATACTTCGAGCATTTGCCAAGCCACTTTGATGAAAACTGGTTTTTACTGGTAAAACAAAACCTAGGATTTACCAGACTTCGGGTTTTTACCGTAACAACTGTAAAATTCGAAGTCTGGTAAATTCTATGTATTACTGGCAAATTTACCAAAGTAGCTTGGTAACTCCCAGGATTTATAGCAAGGGCTTAGTAAAATGCCGAAATGGAATAATATTAATTATAGCATACTTCCGACTTTTATCACACTAGTTTGGTATAACCTAGGATTTACTGGTAAAACCTAAGATTTACAAGACTTCGAGTTTTTGCAGAAACATTGATATGCCGTAAAAGGGGTGGTCTATTAGGTCAAGCTAGTGGTAAGTGACAGATACTGTCATAGATGGAAGAAGAATTTGTGGTCATGAAATTGGTGAAAGAAGAAAAGGGGTCCCAGGTGTTCTTATCTTTTCAGTTTATTATTGGTCGGTTCTTAAACTATTGTACTTAACTTCAAAATAAATAAGTAAACAAATGAAATTTTAAAAAAAGAACAACAGCATTTTCTGCTTATTAATATTAGCATTAATTTTCTTTTTTTTAAAATTTGTTTATACTATTCGAATTTCACTGCGTTGGTAATAAGTGAAATATATGGTGATATACGGTTGGTAATATATGGTGGTTATATAATCTTTTAAATAATTTCATTATTATTATTATTAAAAGGCTTACAATAATCACTTTACTATCCACATTCACAGTTATCTACAATATCAAACTAAGCACTCAACTTCGAAAAAAAGCTGCTATGATTGCAAATAAGTAGGGGATATAAAAAATCAAAATTATCAAGAAACAATGGATTAAATTTATTCGGACATTTTTGACTCTAAAAAATATGTTAAGAAGTTCTTTTCTCTTTTATTCAAACAACAAATGTTTGAAGAAAAAAAAATCTGAAAAATTTGTGATCATTTGTTGTAAGAAATCTTAAAAAGTTTGGTTTTCAGATAGATTTTATGTAATATTTTCAAATATGATCAAATATGTAATCATACATGCAGATCTCGACACGTCCTTTAAAAAATTGTAATTAATTTATATCTATTGTCAAAACGTTGAGCGAAATTTTCAATTGAAGGAGTTATAATTTAAAGACTAAAAGTAAAAGCTGATTTGATTTGTGTGTAACTTGACATTTGATTGTTCGAAAATTAGTTAATATACTCCTAAACTTTTAGAAATATAAGTTTATTTGTGAGGTATATTTGTTAGATAAATATCCAATCATAATAATAATTAAGGCTTCGACAAAAATCATTAGTTTAAATAAAAATCAAGATAAAATACAAATTAATCGATTTTAAAACTTAATCTGTGTAACTGATAGAAATATTTTAAGCTGATTTCAAACCTCAAAAAAGTCATTATCTAACTTAAAACTTTCAACCAAAAAATAAATACATGAAAAATTTTAAAAAATCAAGAAAAAAATCAAATGAAAATACAACAAAAAATAATAATCTTAAGTAGATAAAATAAAGTTAAGAAAACATGATAATAACACTGATTCTGCTTTCTGTAATTAAGTATACGCAGAATTAATGTTTCGAAATTCGATAGAGTGTGCATTGTCGTACGTTCTGGTAGCATTTAGTAACAAAGCAATAAATCTAAAAATTCAATGCATAATTCTAAATCGAAACTTTTTATGATGGGCAGTCTTTTTAATTCCATATAAAAGCATTAGAAAACAGCACCACATATAAGATCTGGGTTAGGTCTTTCTATATGTGTGGAGCATCGTTGTCAGTCTTTTCCGTCAGATGGCAGCACTATATCTAATTTTAGTTAAATTTCAGGAAATTTCGCTCTCATCAAGTGCAGTTTTCTGTTACTGTGAGCGCACACATTTTTGTTTATGTTTATTCGTGAATTATATTCAATTAATACTTTTTTCCAGATATGTGTTTTATATTTTTTAAATTTATATTTGGTTTCGTAATTATAAGGAAGCTCTACTTAAAATAACAAAAAATTAAAACAAAAAATTATTAATTATAAATAAACATATTAATATGTAAAATTAAAAAAGTGCAATTTAAAATTTTAGGAGAAAAGCTCTGTTTTAAAATTTTAGCCATTGGCAATTAAACATTTGTTGTAATAATTTTGAAGGAATAAGGCAAAGGAAATCTGTAATTAATAAAATTAATCAATAATGACCCATCTAACTGCATATATGATATTTACCGGCATGTTTTGTCTCATATGTTTAGCCTTAAATCTCTAAAACTGCTTTTTTCTAATCAAACTGTAATTTTAATACGATGGTGATGCCGACAAGTATATTTTCTAGAAGTACTTAACTACGTTAATTTCCTATATTTTTTGCATCTATTTAAATGTTGAATGCTTATCTATTTTCCTTGATAAAATCGCCACAAATGATTAGTTCACCTTTGTAGGCACTTGGACAGTTTTAGAAATTTCATGTCATCCATCTTCCAGCCTTGTCCTAAACTCACATTTCGCTGATTTTCAATTCCAAATAAATTATAAAACTTCAGAATTTCACATAAAGTAAAAGAATTTATTTTTTATCTCTTCAAAATCATTTAAATTACGTTTCTGTCTCAATTAGAGTTGAAGTTAAGATAATTAAAAAAAAAAAAAAAAATTTATATTTACAGGCATGTTTTGTCTAATATGTTTAGCCTTAAATCTCTAAAACTGCTTTTTTCTAATCAAACTGTAATTTTAATTTCTGTACCCAAAATAAATAAAAAATTAACTATTTATACCTTTTAGCACTTTTGTCAAATGCAATGCGATATTAATTTTCAATTTTCTTTTTAGCGCACAACCAACTCTCTAATTTCAATATTTACAAGCACTACAGAGCAAATAAACTTGGAAACATTAATTATAAACAATAAAATGATAATATGGTGTACCAAATTAGAATTTTGGTCGATACGAACTTGCGCTACTAGCTCACGCAAAACCACAGTGAAATAAAAAAAAAAAAGGAAAAAAAAAAAAAGATGGTTAAATTATGAGTAAGAATTTCTTTGCTGTCTGGATAAACATGGGAGGGTTTTGATATTTTTCTACCCATGTAACGAAAATACTGGGTTCTGTCTATCAAACAATCCTCCATAAAGGGTAATTTGTCCCAATGTTTGATCCAGGAGTACCCTTTACTTCTGTGTTGAGTTTAAAATTACAAAGCTTCGGAGTTGAGTATTGATAGCCAAAAATACAGAAATAGGCAGGGTGCTTAAAAGTTTTTCATAGCAAAAATTTACGAATCTCGTATCTGAAGGCGTTCAGACACCTTAAATAAAAATATATTGTGCCTGTTATTTTATTGTAAATATATTGTAATTTTTTGGAATTATTATTCTTATAACTGGGGCTGCTTTGCGCTTACAAATACTTGAGCATGCTTTTTAGTTAATGTTTTCAATAAAAAGAAGAAAAAAAACTCTTTCTTTTTTATCATATAATTATCATATCTTTTTATTGTTAATTATCATGTTTTATTATCATAATTTTTTTTATAATTATCATATTTTTTTTTGATATTTTTTTATTATGATAGAAAAATTATCTTATTTTTTTCTTTTCATTTATTTCGAAGCAAGAATAATAAGTCTATTTCAGAAACAAAAAAATATTCTTCATGTGATCTCATTTATTATAAAACTTAAAATAATAATTTATATATATATTTATATATATAGTATGTGTATGTAAGGTAAAAATAATTTTTTCTTCAGTATCATTTCTCATTTTTTCTTGACATAACCAAGTAACAAATGATTAGTTATTAGCACTAAGCACTCGTTGCTATAGTAACTTATCATAACATACTTTTAAAAAAAGTTTACATTTGCTGATTTCTTCTTAAAAAAATATTTTAAAAAATGTAATTTTTTTTCACGAAAGTTTTTATTGGATATATCCGGATGATCTTGCCTACTTTTGAACAATAATTTTTTTCTTTTTAAAACACTGCTATAGTTCATTTTTTTTAGTATTTGTTTTTAATTACAAGTGTTAAAACTTTGTTTTTAATGCTGAAGAAAATTAACTCGACCGAAAATTATTGTTAACGTTTATTCACTGTCAAGACAGAAGAAACAAAACTGATTTCTTCTCATTCATGTCTGGCGCAAGTCTTGAAAAAAAGGCGCCTGTTTTTGAGCTCTTGAAACATGTTGACTGCTATTTCCAATTTGTATATTTTTAAAGGGAATAAGTTTTTAATTAAATAATATCTTACCGCCTCAGTTTTTGGGATTACTTATTAAATAAATCTTTATTTGTAAACAACTTTTTAAAATTCTATATGTTGCAGTTTTTTTCCTTTGAAAAAAAAAATCGAAAAATTTACCAAGTTGTACTTTGCAACAATACTTCCCTAATTCTAATTAAATAAACTTATCAATGATAATAATTCAACTAATCGCTTAGAAATTCGTATGGATTGACAAATTCCAAATTGAATAGCAAGTTTGTTTACGGTAAAACTTTGTGCAAAGTAGTCTTCCTGTAATAGGTATAATATTATTTCAAAATGCGTTAAAATACGTTTAAATATTTTGCATCAAGTTTAAATTGGACTTTAGAGAGATTGCGTATAATTTTATGGATGCAAATAAATGCTGAAAAGATCGGAAAGATGTTTCAATTTTATGAAGATCTATAACTTTAAAGTAAGCCTTAAATAATTAAAAACAAAGCAACATGTATGAAATTGAAAATGCATTTATTTTAAACAGGGTAAAATATACAAAAACACAATGAACAACAAGCACATAAGCATTACAGCATCTTTACTCATGATATCACAGTCAAAGTATTCATTTATTATATGATAAATTTGGTGAATTTCTCATGGTGAAATGGTGAGTTTTATGAAATTTTATATGTAAATCTAAGATGATATGTAAGATATGCTTATAACAAATCTGTACAACAAATTTGCATGTATATAAATACTAACTGCTATCATTAGCAGCAGTTTAAAACCATGTCGAAAAGCTAATTTAAATAGAGCTCTTTTGTCGGTGGGGCAATTTAATATTATTTTGGAGAAGAAAAAATGTAGAAAATTAACAATATTTTATGGTGCAAACAAACTTTAAAAATGAATAGATGTCGCAAACAATAAGAAATGAATCTTTAAAACAATTAGATATTTATAATTTTTTCAAAGGCGGTAAAAAAAATATAGGAATAGCTTTTAAAATTGCAAAATTTAATATAATATAATAAATTGTTGTTTAGCGAATCAAATATACATTGTGCGTTATTACAAGTGTTAATTTGATGCTATTGAGTATATTATGTATGTAAGAGATAAAATTACAATGTTAGTTCAACAAATTCTAAAATGAAGCAGTGTATAAAATAGCATACATTTACTTAACAAGATGCCGTCGCTTTAACAAAACGATAAAAACCGACACCGCGACACTTTTTTTTTTGTACATTTTGTTCATGCACCCCACATGTATTTACATTTTTTTTCAATATTTTTAAATGCCCTAAAATGTTTTTTTTTTATACAAATAATGAAAATTATTTATATGTTGTTCCGAAATCTCTAGCTTGCTCTTAAACTGAACTAAATTTTAGAAGTAATTTAATTCGAATTTTTTTTCTCTACTAAAGTATTCGTTTTCAGCTAATTAGAAATGCTTGCATGGAATTTTGACGAAAGTTTTGAATTGTGATAAAGTTTTCTTAACAGTGCATTGACAAAGTTTCAAACTTGATAATTTACAGATAAATATTATCCATTATAAATTATACTTATGCTTCAGACTGCATGAATTACATTTACTATCTCGATAAACTTCTCATGCTTAACAAAACTTTAAATGCACGCCGAAGATAATTGTTTATCATATGTCATAAATATAGCTAAATCAAACTTGATCAAAATATATAATTAAATTTAGAATTTAATCATAAAGTTCTGAGTCATCGTTCCTCCCAATTTATAAAAATTATGCATGTAAATTTATGCATGTAGAAATGTATTTAACTTTATAAATTTATCAAATTTTAATTAAGTTCTGCTTTAAGAACTTACCAAGTCTATCATAGTAACTTATTAATTATCATAAATTATCATGATTAATTATCATAATAACTTAAGACTTGATTGGTTTCCAATGAAAGCAAGGCAAAAATAAATAACAAAGTTGATGGCTTCCAAAAATAAGTGTTGCGTAAAAGCATTTAAAATTTAGGTCAGTTTTAGAGCATATGATATCACATTTGTCTTTTATCGTCTCCATGGTTCAACGTTTTGTTGGGTCAGCATGCTGGTTTTTTGTGTATGTGCACGAGCTGGAAAATTTGGTTTTTGTGCAACTGCAGATTGTTGCCTGGATGGAGCAACAGCAGCTTGTTGTATTTGTTTTCTCACCGGAGCAGATGGTGCAACGGCAGGAGCATCAGATTTGAACATAACATCGGCTGGATCATCACTTTTGGTTCCAGGTTCGTTGGTTTTGACATTGGCCCTAAATCCGTTTTTGTCTGCTACGTACTCCACGACTCGCACTGACCCATCTTCATTTCGAACTGTGTAACTGCCGGTAACGGTTCCAGAGGCGTCTGAAGCTTCATTTCTTGCACTACTACCACCGGTGGCTTCAGCTTCGTAGTTGAAGGAGTAGGGAGATGGCTGATAAGAAGGTTCAGCTGCTACCTATTCGACCCAAAGAAAGATATATTAAATAGAGCATTGTAAGCGACACTGTTTTCTACAAAATGTTTCATTTTCTTCAAAATAAATGTACACAGAAAATGCATTACGTTACAATATTTAAAGTACTCACTTGTTGCTGACTTAAAGGTGCCTGTTTGATGGCAGTTGATTGAAACATTGGTTTAGCTGCAGCTGAATGATGTGCGGTTTGTGATCCGAAGGCAGAAGTTTTAGATGCATGACCAGCCGAACCAGAGGACTTGTAAGTTTGTGGTGCAGGAGCTGCTTCTTCCTGAACTGCTGAAGAATAAAACTGAACATCAGCTGGGGAGTCACTCTTGGTACCGAATTCATTGGTGTTCACTGATGCTCTGAATCCTCCTTGATCAGCAACATAATCAACGGTTCTTGTTCGACCATCATTAACACTTAAACCGTAGGAGCCTACAACTTTTCCAGAACCGTCGGCAGATTCAGATCTCGAACTTGTTCCGTCATCTAGTTCAGCCAAGTAGTTGAATGCATAAGGTGCATATGAGTCAGCACCGGCACTGTATTGATCTACATTCTAAAATAAAGGATTTTTGATTAACATGGCACATTGCGAGAAGCAAAAACAATAAGAAATTATAAAGGTCAGTGAAGTAAAATATGGCGATGTCAGCAATAAGTGTTCAAAATTTATTGACTCAAAGCTAAATCTATGTAATTTATCAAAATATTATTTAACATGTTCTTCTATAAGTCTATCACAAAACACACGCATATTTTTACGTAGTAGAACAAGCTACGTACTCGATTAACCTTGCTGATGAGTTTCAAGTAGTTAATGAATTTCATTCGCTATATACAGCTAATTATAAAGTATGAGGATTTTTAAAATTAGAAGAATTAAATTTTGGAATTGATTTTCGGAATTTCACTTTCATTTGCCTTCCTAGAATTGAGGAGAAATTTTAGTTTTAATTTCCAGGATAGTTTTTGCTCTTAACAAACGTTAGGTGATTAAGCATAATTTGACGGAACAAGAGCTTTAAAAAATAGTTGGAAAATAAGAATTTTTTTTAATTAGAAGAGAAAATTTTTTTATAATTTTTGGAACTTTTGCAGATTTTTCCTCAAAAAGGAAAAGCAATAAAATTATATGGTTAGAAATTTTGAACTAGTAATTTTGTATGATATTTGTCTGCTTTTGAGATTTTTTAAGTTTTCTTTTGACTTTTGTTTAAACAGATGAATACTCCTGAAAATCTTTTTGAAATTAAATTATGATGCAAAAATGAATACATTTTTCAAAATTCTAATTGCAATCAAACATGTAACACTAAAATGTCTTTATGTATACGCTCATTCCAGAGTTGCACTAACATAAAATTAACAGAAAAAAAATCCGTAGAAATCCCAGAATAATGAATACCGGAATTCCAACTTCGACGAAGGCTTTGCAGGTTATTCGTTTAGTTAAGTAAATATTAACGACCTGCTTTTTTTTGGGAAGGAAGGAATAAATAAATTAAATAGCATTCCCCTCTCTTTCTACATCTCTCTTATATAAAAAAAAAGTAAGGTGTTTTTGAGGTTAGCAGATGTGAAAAAAAATACACCTGAGGTAGAAAATGAAGTTATGTTTTGCACCAAAAATAACCTCATCAATGAACCTCAATTTCAACCTCATTTACACCTCATAAAATCATCCTCATATATACCTCAGCGGTACTTTTAAGTAAGTTGGGGGAAATTAATCACAGCTCAAATATACTTATTCGCTTATAGGGTAGAAGAAATAGCCTGTACACCCCAAAAATAACCTCTCTAAGCTGGTTGCTCTAGAGTAGATTTACAACAACCTCAAGTGTGAATAAAACAGCTTCATACATCTTGCTTATACACCTTGAGAGGTTGATCTTTTGAGGATGTTTTTGAAATCAACTTCAAATAAACCTTAAATCAACCTTGACACCTCAAAACCACCTTAAATTTTTGTAATGGCTCTCTCCTTCTCGAATAAAACCATGAAGAATAATGTTTGAAGAAATCAAAGAACTACCTGCTGGCTTTGGAATGAACTCTGATACTGATTACTGGAAGTTGCAGCTTGCGATTGGAAAGATGATTTAGTATTGGAACCAGCTATTTTTTGTTGGCTAGCACCTTTGAAAGCAGGGGCAGCGGGAGCATCCATTGGAGCTGATGAATAGAATTGGGCATCTGCTGGAGAATCACTTTTGGTTCCGAATTCGTTGGTGTTGACTTTGGCTCGGAATCCAAGGTGGTCAGCTTCATAATCAATGGTTCTTTGTCTTCCATCGGCAGTAGCCAAACTGTAAGAACCGACCACTTTTCCGGATCCATCAGAAGATTCGGATCTTGAGCTACTTCCATCTTCAAGTTGGGCATCGTAGTTGAAGGAATATGGAAGTGGCTTGTAATTTTCTTGCTAATAAAGAAAATTGTGGATTAAGTATTTATAAATAATGCTAGGTTAATTAATTGTAAGCAATAAATTGAAATTAATGAGCCATTTATTTTTTTTATTTGGTTGGTTACCTGGATAGGTTGTTGACTGAATGCTGGAGCAACAGCCTAAAAGATAATCAGGAATTAACTAAAATTAATAATTAATTCTTACTGAATTTGAACTTAGAGAAATGGTCAATGGTCTTAAAATTAGTATTCCTTATTAAGACTAAAAGTATAGTTTTTAATTGTTTTTAGGATATAAATTTAATCGTTTAGAAGGATTTCATTTATTAAAATAATGTAAAACTAAAATAAATAAAAGCCACAAATTACTATGATTTACAGTTTATTTCAGAACATATTGAGAACTGTTGCGGGAATGCTTTACATTGTTTTTGGAATATTTTACATTGTTTTCGGAACATTTTACATTGTTTTCGGAATATTTTACGTTATATATTATTATTTACATTGATATGTATATTAAAGATCAGTTTTATACTATTATTTCATAATTCCATTGATAATCAATATATTTTTTTACTTTCAGAAAAAAGGTGATATGAAAACCTTAGAGTGCGTTTCTATGAGTAAACTATTTAACATACAAACGTAAATTATGTAAATATACTATATGTATTTACTAAAAAATTATCATTTATATCCAAAAGTGTAAATTGTTCAAATGAGCATAAGACGTAAGTTTACCTGAATGGGTTCTTGGCGAACTGGAGTCGTTTGTGAATATGAACTGATCTGTAAAACATGCCTTTTTAGTCAACTATTTCATATTTAACTAGCATTGATTCAAGTAAGTGAGCAATATTTTTAGAAATATAGCAATTGATAGTTTAATTTGATCTGATACTGATTTTTATTTATTCGGTTACAACTTGAACTATATTGCATAATACAATTAATAAAGGCTTTAATGAGCTTTTTTTTTTAGTTAAATCACAAAATTTAAATTCAATACATCCACTTATTCGACTGGTATTTATGAATAAGAACTGATTATTTACGAAGTACTTATTGTATTCTTAATTGGTAATTAACAGCTGCAATAATAAATAAATTAACAATTATGGCCTCTTTACTATTGTTCTTAATAAACCCTTTCGGTCTAATCGGGAAAATATGTCCGGGGTATCCCAGGTATGATTATATGTAACAGGATAATATATACAAAAGCATAACTGGGGCATATGTGTTCTGTCTAAAAAACCCGGTGGAACACATATGTCCCCCCACCCCTTCCCCCGATCACCCAAACATGTATTTTTAATTATACTTTGGCAGAATATTGTCTTTTTTACCTTATTTGATTTATTGAAATTGTAATTAGTCATTTTATTGGAAAAGAGAAAACTAGTCTTGAAAGAGTTGAAAAGATGAAATTTATTAGGCAGAATCAAAGTAGGAGAGACATTATAAAGTTTTAATAAGTAATTTATTTAGTCGAAAAAAAGACATAAAAAAGATTTTTATCTGGCTATTAACAAAATTGATCTCTTGATTATACAAAATATATTTAAGAAAAAACTTTTAAACGCTTAAAAGCATTTATTTAAAATATTAAGTTTCACATTTGAATTTTTATTAAGCCAAGCAAAGATATACTTTTGATGAAGAATATACTTTCCTAATTTCAATATTTGGAGCGATAATTACGTGTTTCGTTTCTGATTTGTTTGTGAAAGCTAGGGCTTCTCAATTACTTTAGGCTTTGAGCCTTTAAATTTTCTTTCAGTTGCTTGGGTCACAAATCTCTTTATGGTATAGAATAAACGTCTTTCGAATTTATTTGCAACAGAAATAAACATCGAGAACGTTAATAGCTCTTTATCTTTTCTTTAATCCCGAATTTTTTTAAAAAAAAAATATGATAATTAAGTTCCTTAAATACACATTTTACCAAATTGTGAATAAAAAAATTGATATTATTTTACCTGTTTCTGTCCAGCAAAAGAGCTAGATTGGGCATAAGATGTAGGCGCAGGTGCTGCTTGTTGTTGAGGCGCTGAAGAGTAAAATTGTGCATGGGCTGGAGAATCACTTTTTGTTCCCAATTCGTTAGTTTCGATTTTTGCTTGAAATCCTCCATTTCCAGAAGAATAATCAACCTTTCTCATTCGTCCATCAGCCACTGAAAGGCTGTAGTGTCCAGTTACTGCACCAGAATCGTCAGCACTTTCACTTCGAGCACTACTGCCACCATCTTCTAATTGTGCTTCGTAATTGTAGGAATAAGCACCTGAAGCCCCTCCTGTATTGTACTGAATAGGTTGCTGTTAAAAAAAAAAGAAATAAACTTCGTTACATTTAAATGCAATCTAAGAAATAAAATCATGCATAAAAATAAAAGGTAATTAAAATTGAGAGATAATGGTAAGTTGTAGCAATGGCATAAATAGAATAGCTAGATTGCAGGCCTTATTTCATAAAATATTTAAAATGTTTAAAATCTTCAAATGTGTTTTTAGTTAGTAATTTTTTATTACAAGTATTTCTAATGATTATGACTAGTTTAGCTAGCTACATAAAAAAAAGAAAACAAGATTAAAAAGTTTTTTGCCAACACAAACAAAAACTTGGAGAAGTAATTGCTTAGAAAAAAAAAGATTTACTCTTTCAGCAATTTTGATGTAAAACATCCCGAAAAGGCATAACATATAAAGAACAGCTTATTTTCTAGCATTTGCTTTACTTGTAGTGCAATAAAATGAATGCAATATTCTAAAATTTTAAATTCAATGTTCTATTTTACTAAAGTTAAGTACCAGAGTTGATCACATCTTGATGTGCAACCAAGATTTCTGTAATAATAGAAATAGTAAAATTCGTAATACTAGTTTATGATTGCAAATGGAGTCATAATAAAAAATGCCTATAATTTCATATTACAAGTCATTATGATTACAATTAGGGTATAGTAAGGCGGAATGATGATGACAAAATTGATAACTTATAATCACGATTCGAGGTAATTGATTACTTGTAGACAATTAAATTTTGAACAACGTTATACCAATTCCCATTGTATAACGAATAAAAGTGCAATTTTAACTCATTACAAATTATTTTAACAGTTTTAGAGACATTTTAAATCATATGGCAATTGTAACAAATATTTTTTTACTAAAAATTATTGCGAGAGTTTAGGTATAGAAAAATTCCATGATATAAAATTTCTTGAATATAAATCAGTGATACAAAATTATCTGGATGGCACAGTTGGCTTGTCGTCGGCCTTCTGAGCCCAAGTCTGCGGGTTCGATCCCCGGCCCAGACACCGGATTTTCGGGATGCAGAAAATCCTCAGCGGCCATGTCGTATGATTATGCGGCATGTAAAAGATCCCTGGAGTGCCTTATTGGCTCTTGGCATTTCCGGCAAAATTAAATTCCTAGTGCACTTTAGCATCCAAATAGAGTCTCGGTGCTGCCATCTAGTGTGGCAGAAATTAGACGTCCAAATTAACATGGCCAACAGTATCTCACCCATTGTGGTGGTCGTGAAAGAGTGGATACCTCTTCTGGAGAACGCACTAGGTCTGCTCATCGGGAAGACTGATTGTGCAGCTCATTGGAAATAAAAAAAAATTATTTTGACAAACTTCAAAGAAACAAAAGTTCAAAAAATGTGAAAAGCAAATCACTTTCACCCAAGCCCCAAACAAGCTCAATTTAAGCTGATCGCGTTATTCAATATTCTTTGCTATTCTAAGAATCCTCTTGTAATTGTCGCCATCTCGTGTATGACCTTATTTTCTCTGGTAAAAGATACTTTTTTGCGTGTGTCCGATAAGACATATATTAATAAAAAATAGAGAGATTTTGGATATAGTGCTATAGTCTCTTGGTATATATAAAGTTATTTGAACTTTATTATGCATACGCAAAAGTCTTTTAGCAAACAACAGAATTGTAAAAAATTGCAAATTGTTAGAAAATAAATGTAAATAGAGTTAAGGTACAAGTTTTCCTCCCTTAAAATTTGATACAAAATTGTTACTTATAGAACATACCTGTTCAAACTGAGCTTGGTTAACTTTAGTTTCTGCAAATCCCTTCGCTGCGTATTTCTTTGGTGCTGCAGGTGCAACGGGAGCTGCTGGCTCGACAAATGCAGATTTAAGAGCCACATTTGATGGATTGGAACTCTTAGTGCCAGCTTCGTTGGTGTCAATGTCAGCACGGAATCCTAGTTCATCAGCTACGTAGTTTACGACCCTTATGGTGCCATCTTCATTGATGACTTTGTAGCTCCCGGTAACTTTACCGGATGCGTCAGCGGATTCTTTTCGTGAACTTCCATCAGCTTCGTACTCGAATGAGTAGGGCTGAGGAGCTTGCACTGGGGCAACAACTTGGACAGGGGCTACTGATTGTACAGGTGCTATTGCTGGCTGAGGAGCTGGTTTAGAGGAATGGTAGGATGCTACACTAGCGAATTGGGATGGCTGAAATGCAAATATCGAATAGATTAAAGCCAATTTCGATACATTGTTTTTAAATATATATAATTTTTTATATTGTTTTCTGCTTTACAACAAACAAAAAATATCAACTACATAATTGTTCAAAATGTACTATTTTTAATTTTTTTCTATTCAGATATTACCTTACTAGAACTGCTCTATACAAACTATTAACTTTGTCCATAATGTAAGTATTGAAAAATGAAAAATAGTTTGGTATAGGCCTACAATTTAGAAGTTCGTAAATATAAAAATGCAATGTGAATAATGGAGTCAGTTATTATATAATTTTTATTTTTTTTCCTTTTTACATGACAACGTGCCCCAATTGTTTTTTTTTGAAAACTCTGTATTTTACTGCCTTCTCAATATTTAAATTGATATGATGCATACAGATATAAACTATTAATTTATTTTTTATAGCATATTATGAAACTTTTTAACAAAATCAAATAAGGAAATCATCCTACATGGAAACTCAAGATTTTTTAACTGGTGTGAATGAAAAAGTGTTTAAAGTCAGAATCCAAAATAAACAAGAAATGGAAACATGGCTCATTTTTATAATATTGTGTCATAAATACGCATGCACTACTGTAGAATTTTCAGCTGACAGTTTGTATGAGGGGGAAAATATAAGCTAATATAAATATTAAATATAAATAGGAAAATATATTTATGAAAACAAACTTTGATCTGCCCCGCTATTTGCATACATAATGTTTTATATTAACTACCCTTAATGTATAATTTTTAAATGCTTATGAAAGATGAATCTAAAAGCATCTACATAATACTGCAGTTCAATTTAAAAAACAACTTAAGTGATTCAAGATGGATGTCGAAAAAAGTGGATAAATAACTACTTTCTTTCAACTGCTAATGCTATGAAAGCTAAAATAAAATTTCAGATAACTGATAAAACAAAATTTATCTTCATATTTTTTTGTTGCAATATGTGGAACAAAATACATAGAACAAAATATGTAGAACAAATAGTATTGAACAAAAATGCCAATTATGAAAAAAACTTAGTTTTAAATTTTTTCTCGCTTACGTTGATTCTTCTATTGCACGGTAGATTAGGGGTCTCAAAATAATACTCAAGAAAAGAATAATTAAAAACACTATCGTAATGCATCGGATTATAATTATATCGGACCGAAAACATGAAGACCTGTTTGATTGCTGGAGTTCAAAGGTGATTTTTAGAAATGCCTCCAAGTTCCTTAAAGCAATAAAACTGACTTCATACAAAATCTTTCAGTAGTGATTCGATAACGTTTTTGTTTTGCTTTCCCCTATGTATTTATTCATTTGTGCTCATTCTATTGTGTATTCTTTTTGGACCTCATGTGTGAATAGAATTTTAAAAATGAAACTAAAGACGACACACACAACACCCTGTATTTCTGGGCTGCGACTTTTCATCGGGAACAGTTTTCATTGCCCAAAAATATTGAAAAATACATTATCCCGATTATGTAAAATTAAATATTATTGTCCAATTACAAACACACACAGAGTAAGAAATAACTAAATTTCAATACTTTAAGCACATAATTAATATTTAATAGAAAACAGAGGGTAGTGGGAAATTATTTGCCGCAAACTAAAAAAGCTCTGGTCAATGAATTAGAGAATGTTTTCGGCATAATAATATCCCATAGAAAAGTTAAAGGCACAATGTAACAACTATATTTGAATTTCTTCCTACGAAAAATGAACATTGATTTTGTTATACATAGCTTTTAATTCAGGGGAATTTACAAAGCAATTAGTAATTTTAAATAATGATTTCAAGAGTTGAAAAAATAATTTTTAATTAGTTAGTTTGTATTTTCAATTGTGTGACTATTTTTTAATTATTATTTAAAAAAAATATTTCAAGAGGCTTACCTGCTTTTGTGCAACATTTTTCTTAGACCAACCATTTCCGGCAGCAAAGGTCAGTGCGACAGCGGAAAATAGGATAAAAGTCTGAAAAATGTACATCATTATACTTTGTTGTTATAAATAAAAACATACAATTCATTTATTTTATCAAATTTTATTTAAATTTTCGAATAAACTATCAGTTTAAAAAATTACGTGTAATTTTCTTATTAAGAGAAATAGTGAGTACTGTTAAACGAAAAACTTTTATAAAAGAAGACAGTGATATAAAAAAAAAGAATGGGATAAAAAATGTAAACAATTTTGAATTTTAAGTTTATACTTTTGAAAAATATGATCTGTAATCAATAGATTAATAACCATAAGATAAAGACATTTAAAAAGTGAAATAAAAGTAAAAAAACAGCAACTAAAAGTAGCATCAGAGAATCTGCATAAATAAGTTTGAAATATATATGCAGTTGTTTCAATTTGTTTGCTTTCAATAGTACAAAATTTCCTCATTTTGCTTTTGAAATATTTCATGTAAAAAGAAAATCTTTTGTAATGTATAATTTTTAACATAAAATTGATTGTTATGATTTGTTTATCTTTTAATCCTTGAAATTCAAGATAAAATATTTAAAATTAAAATAAATATGGCAAAAGTGCCTACTTTAAACTTAAATACAACAAAAACCTTTACAAATATTAAATATTAAGATTCCAATTGGCACCAGCTTATGTTTTATTCGTCTTCTGGAATGTTTCATTCATTTTCCACAAGTAAAGGTTTGAGTAGAAAATATGGTAATAATATATTTTAGGTTATGAAATTTTAAATGTAATAACTCTTTCAGTTTCACATTGAAAACTTATAATGTAATAATTAATAATACGGGACAATATTATTACTTTGTTTTTCGAATATTAATTTTTAAGTTACCTTTTTTTTTAAAAAAATACCATCTCTTGATCCCTGAGTCTTAAGCTATATAATTATTGCTCTATCCTAAAATCATTTTTAAAAAAATTTTAATTCACAAAGAAAATTACTTTTATTCGAAATCGTATTTTAAACATTACGTACATTAGGTAAGCATATCTTTGTATGTATATATTATTTTTAAACATATTGTTTAGTAAATTATCTATCTATCTATATGGATATATATATGTTAACCATTTTATTAATGTTTTTATACTCTATAATTAGTGGTACGTCTGTCAATTTGTCAATTGATTTTATTATCAAAATAAATCTCTAAAGAATTTATTTTTTTTAAAAAACTTATCTCTACGTGGGACTAAAATCACCGCTATTTCTTCATTTCAGTTGGCAACACTTGAGTCATACGCAATTGTGTTGGGCACGTTGCTGTCTTTTGAAGACATGCACATACAACACAGGTTAATATGTTTTTTCAACAGTATTAATTTTTAATTAAAAAATTTTATACACCTGTAAAAGAAGTTTCACTTTAAATTTTTTTCAAATGATTTTTAATATTGTTTCTTAAATTTTTTTTTTATCTGAAAACATTTTCGGAAGTCAAGTGTGCAAAAACAAAAATATGGTGGTAAAACTAGATTGTGTCCAAAGGTACGGATTTGTCTTGAATGTTTCGAAAAACTTAATGTTTCAATAGTATGAGTTAAAGTTAAAAATCCGATAAAAATTTCAATGAGAAGTCGCGAAGTTGCCAATAAGTCACTATAGTCAGCTAGTATTATTATAAATTTCAGTCGCAATTGTTTAGAAGCAATTAGCAATTTTTTTAGATAATTTCAATAAATATTTAAATTAAAATTTTTAAACAATTCAATAATATTTAAAATAATGACAAAAAATAAATTGATTTAGTATTTATAACGCCTCTAGTCATTTTATTAATTCTAAACATTTAAGTGCAAAATATTATCCATATCAATTTAAATTTTCTTCAAAAACTTTTTTAAAAAATTATAAATATTTGCAAAAATATATTTTTTATAAACATCCTAATTTTTGTTTGTAAAAAAATACAAAATTTAGAAAATAAATAAATAAATGAAAGTAATCGAAAGTCAACTGCTTACCTGTCTCAACATGATGTTGAAGAGATGATGAGAAAAGTGAGAGTAACATGTTCGGGGATCACCATACCCTTTTATAGTGAGACCGAGAGTGAAATATCACGTGAGATGGGCGGGGGATGATCTGGATCTCCCCAAGGATGGCTCAATCTTCATCCCTGCCGGCAAGGTCATCTTCAGATGGAGTGATGAGTAAAGCGGGATGATCGGAAGCTGAAGATCACATCTAACCTCGTTATGGGTGCCCCGAGGAGAACGAGTCGCCAATTTTGGCGAATTTCCTGCCTTTGGATACGGAAATATGGGTAATAAGTAGTTACAAGTTTGGACGCATCATTTTTTGATGGAAGGTGCCATTATAGCAATTTGTGATTATGACAAAAAATATATATATTTCTTTTCTTGAGTTTGAGTTTGGAAATTGTTTATTTTATTTTATGTAGATAACCATAGTGTATTCAAATCGCATTTGAAAATTTGTTAATCTTTTTCGTTATTGTAGACTTATATCTTTAAGATACCACCGTAGTATCAAAGAGAGAATAGATCCTTAGCAGTGAAAAAATATCAAAAGAGAGAGTTTGGCAATTGTTTATTTTATTTTATATAGATGATTACTATAGTGTATTTTAATTTAAATAGCATTTGAAAATTTGTTAATTTTTTTTGTCATTGTAAACTTATATCTTTAAGATACCACCGTAGTATCAAAGAGAGAATAAATCCTTAGCAGTGAAAAAATATCAAAAGAAAGAGTTTGGCAATTGTTCATTTTATTTTATATAGATGATAACCATAGTGCATTTTAGTTTAAATAGCGTTTGAAAATTTGTTAATCTTTTTTGTTTTTGTAAACTTATATCTCTAAGATACCACCGTAGTATCAAAGAGAGAATAGATCCTTAGCAGTGAAAAAATATCAAAAGAAGAGTATAAATATCATAAAAGATTATCAGTACAAAGTTTCGATATTACTCTATACTTAATCGTATCGTTAATAAATTTCGACTCATGATTCAGTTTATTATTATCGATAGATATTATTGACATTGATTGAAATTTGAATAAAATTGTGAGCGTTTTAGTAACCAACCGGCTGTGGTTGGCAAATGCATAAGTTCCAGAAATCTTCTCCAGTTGAAGTTAAATTTAGCGTATTATTGTTCAGATAAATCAGAAAGGAATTTGAAGAAGAGCCTGAGAGCTGAAACAAATCTTGATAGGCTATATTAAGCCTTACCTATTGAAACGCAGTGCTATAAGCGAAAGCAGAAAGCACGCCGCACTTTACTATACTCAATACTCAATAAATCAGAAATAAAGTATATAATTGTAAAAAGAATCTGCTTACAACTATATTTAACTTAACTTACAAGCATTTTAAAACAGGAAATGCAAAATGAAACTATAATTTTAGTAGCTGTCAGTTAACAAGTATAATTCGATCGCTTAATTTGACTTGAGAACTACTCGTTTATATGCTTCATTAATTGTTGTGAACAAAAAAATTATGAAAGCAGTAAAGGGAAATACGAGTAGAATGTAGTAGTAGTAAATGAAATATAGCTCATTTTCTTTTAACTATAACCGTCGTTGAACAGCCGACCCAATTTTTGCGTTTACGACTATTAATGTTCAACTTCGCAGTCTCTCATTTTTGAACTCAATCCAGAAGACAAGGGAATTCCTGGATCAAGTATTGGGAGAAATTCGCCTTCGCTGAAGACTTTTGATGGAACTAACCCGCATTGGCGCTACATGGAGAGGAAGACCACGAAATCTTCCCACGGCTATACTGACGGCAAAGGCACTCTAACCTATGATCCGTCTACCACTGAGGATATTTTACGTTAGCACTGTGGTTGATGCAAGCCAGATACGGATTCGTATCTACCAGTCATCGCTGGGATTCGAACCCAGTTCACCTCATTGGAAGGTGAATGCTCTGTCCCCTGAGTCCTTGTGGCTCTAAATCTAGCTCATTGAAGTACATTCATATATCATATTATTATTATATAAAAAAAGTTATAACTTTTTTAGAATATTATAGAACAGAAGTATGGATACCAGCCGACACTATCGAACGAAATTATTGATAAAAAGTGACATTATCCAAAAGGTGATGTATCGGTAGTACTGAAAGGAAGAATAGATAATTTTTAAATACCACTAATTATACCTTTGTCATGCTATTTTATAGTGGATATGAGGTCAAAATAGTTAAATAGATAATAAAAAGAAAATTTCAAATAATTTGAATAAAATTAATTTCGTTTGGCTTTTTATCAAATTGGAATTCAATTTCCCTTTAAATACCAGAAGTTAGAGCTTTAAACTAGAAATTTCCTTAAGCTTACATTAGTTTGTTTTCTTAGGCTAGTGTTTCTTTTTCGTATTGAAAGTGAAAATTATTTATAAGTGATATTTTTGCAAATAAATTTTAAAGACACTTCTCTCTTTCGATTAAAAATAAATTTCATGATTTAGGAAGAACTATAGATCATAAAATTATCACAGTTGTTGCTTAAATTTTGTTTAAAATTATATAAAAATAAATATTGACGTATTGTACATTTTGTACGCATAGTTATATATTCATAGTTTTGAATGTTATTTTTTAAAGGATGTAAAAAAATTTCGATACTATGAAAACTAAATATATCAACTTCATTCTTATTGAAAGTTCTTATTGAAAGATTACTTTATCTGGGATTAAAATTTTCATGCAGGAAGGAATATTATTCCTGTTTTATTTACTAAAATTTTTATTTGTTAAAGTTTCGTACGGAAGGGATATTATTCCTGTTTAATGCATATTAAAATTTTATTTATTAAATTTTCATACATGAAGGAATATTATTCCTGTTTTGTATACAGAAATTTTTATCTATTAGAATTTCGTACAGGAAGGGATATTATTCCTGTTTGATGCATATTAAAATTTTTATTTATTAAATTTTCGTACAGGAAGGAATATTATTCCTGTTTTGTATGCAGTAATTTTTATCTATTAGAATTTCGTACGGGAAGGAATATTATTCCTGTTTTGTATACAGAAATTTTTATCTATTAGAATTTTGTTCAGGAAGGGATATTATTCCTGTTTGATGCATATTAAAATTTTATTTATTAAATTTTCATACAGGAAGGAATATTATTCCTGTTTTGTATACAGAAAGTTTTATCTATTAGAATTTCGTACAGGAAGGGATATTATTCCTGTTTGATGCATATTAAAATTTCAATTTATTAAATTTTCATACAGGAAGGAATATTATTCCGGTTTTATATACTAACATTTTTATTCATTAAATTGTTTCGTCCAAGAAGGAATAGTATTCCTGTTTTATGTACTAAAATTTTTATTTATTAAACGCTTCGTACAAAAAGCAATATTATTCCGGTTTTATATACGAAAATGTTTATTTTTAAAATTTTTCGTACAGGAAGGAATATTATTCCTACGTCATAAAATAACTACTCATACTTAAAATTACCACACAATTTTATGATAGAATAATACATGATGCAATACATTAATTATCAAATTTCTCCAAAAATAATTTGTAGGAATTATAAATTTTTTGACATGGAAAATTTATGAGACATTTTAATATGGATACCACTAAACCTGGTGTGATTAGTGCTATAAATTCTATATCCAGTCCATTATGGCAAAATTTAATTTCATGTTCACATGTTTTATTCCATGTTTACAAATATTCACAAAATAGTGCCATATGAGATAAAAAAGCAATTAAGCTTTAATATAGAGCAATCCTTAATAGTCCCCCTTCTATAAATTAATAAGTAATTTAAATTGAGGGAATGAAAGAAGTATAAACAAACAAATAAGAAAAGTTGTTTAAAAACGTAATTTCAAAAAGTATGTTATTTGTGGGAGTTTTTTTTAAATATATTTTAAATACAAGAGGTTCATTCTTAAACCTTTTATGCGGGGTAAAAAAACTGATAAAATTACCGCATCACATAATTGTGACATTTCTGGTTTAAAAAAGAAGACGAAAAAGCAATCCTGGTTATAAAAACCAAAATATACGGTAATTAAACCATTCATTTGATAATCTTCCCGTTTATGTGAAAACTCTGGTTTTCAAAATTATAGTTCTCATCACCACACATTTAACCGAAGGTTTTTATGCCATGCTCTAAGATGGTGTGATGAAATTTTCAAGTTTTACTACATTTGTCAAGGTTTAAAGAATGTTATAAAACTATATTTTATCGCTCATTTTACCAAAAATCATCACCAAAGAACTTCGGTAAAATCTTTTGAGCTTTTAGGTGTTCCCGTAAAGTCACAAACACAGTAAATTTTACCATATTCTAGTAGTTTTAATCATATTTTTTTTCAGTGTAGAACGGAAGAAAAGACCTGAGACACGAAACGTTAACAAAATTCTAGGATATTCTTTATTATTTAAAAGTAATAAAAATATTTAAAAGTTTCCTTTCAATAGATCATGTATTCCAATTGTGAAAAACCAACATTTCAATAACTTGAGTGTTGTAAATTCAAAAATATGTACTGGATTTAAAAAAAAAAGCTTCATAATCAAGCATAACTTAAGAAAATTTAACCACACATTTAAGTTCTTTATTAATCCTTAAATACAGAGTTTAACAGCTATTAAGAAAACTTAAAAAATAAACATTTAAAAAAAACTATTTGTCATTAAGAGGAAATAAAATTATTTTTGATTGATAGAGATTCTTACACAAAATGTCTAATGAAAAAAATAGAAATGTACATATTTATCCGAACATATTTGCAAGAATTTATGATAAGATTTTCTGATTGAATATTCCAAATTAATTAATCCGTTTAATTAATTATCTGCTAAACGTGTTCCTCTCTAATTCAGATTCAGCGATAAATTAGTAATGAGGTATTGTTTTGGCATAACTCTTTTAGTAAATTAACGAAAATTTGCCAGAGGCATTTAAATGATGATAAAACTCTTTTCTGAAGGGCAATTACAGCGATCTGAAAAATAACTTAATTTTTATCATAGTTTCTAGTTGCAAATAAAAACCTTTTGACGAAAAATTTTAATGTTGACTAATAAAAATGATTTATCTTTTAAAAAATATAATTTTTTCAATCACATGACATGATTCCACTTTGAATGAACAACGAAGATCAAAATATCCATGCTTGTAATCTGCATAAA